CCTCCTCCACTTGCACGAGGTCGCCGTTGTCGCCAACCATCTGCCAAAAAAAACACATGTTTGCAAAACCACACTATCTATAACATCCCGGCCTGGAGCAGCAACACCGAGGGCTCGTACTTGCGAAGCCCAAACTGCCACCCTGTCAGAGGCGGCTCCTCCTTCTCGACGTCTGGGTGGTACCACAAAGACTGGGCCCCTTCACGGCCGTCTATGTGCCACCCTGAAAAGTGGCCCCCACCCTGCCATCTCAGGCGAGTGCCACTCGGAGTGACCCACCTGTGCTTCTTCTTCCCTGGCCAGACAGAAAACACTTCCAGAAAAGTACAGCTGCAGGTTCAGGGTTTGGGGTTTGTATGGCAGCAGACAGCATGCCTGAAGCAGCAGGATGGAAGTTCTCCTCCACGTCGACATAGTCCATCATGAGCCGCTGCTCTGCATCCTCAGTGTGAACAAAGTGGGGTGTTAAAGCCTGCGATTGAAAATCGCAGAATGTTGGGTCCCAGGCCGAGGGTGTCTTGGCACAAAGCATCGTGTACACGGACATGGCAGCCACGGGGTCCTACCTACACACCTCCAGACCTCAAGTGAAAGCGAGACAGCCAAAATGTGACCCAAAATGGCATGCACATGCAGGTCCATGATTCTCTATAGTGTACATACATGCAAAGTGTTCTGGAAAAGTGCACATGTGCATGCTTCTGTGTAATGTACATGCATGCAAAGTGCTCCCATGCATGTAAGTGCACATGCCCTTCGAGCCTGGGAAAAGTGCACACAATCAGCACAGTGTGCAAGCATCCGACACATGTCCCAAGTGCATCATGCATGCAACCAACAAATGCACTTCTGTCTTGTAGGAGCATCGAGAGCACACGATCGCCACGGAAGATGCTAATCCCGCCCGAATCTCACTTGCCATCGGAGCTGCCCTCGTCATGCTTCTCATCATCGTCGTCGTCATTCTTCTCATCATTCTCATCATCGGACTTCTCCGGCACCTTGTCTCCGGTTTTGCGAGTTTTCCTCTTCTTGCGAGGTTTCTGCTCACTCCTGTCGATGGCACTCTTCAGCCATTTCAGGTTCGCTTCGGACATTTCGATCCACAAGGATTTCGTGCCGATCCCATCGAAGAGCACCTGGAATTCGTGCTCCAGAACCGAGATGGTGAACTTCTGCGGCAGCACCAATGCATGTTTTGACTGGGCTTTGACCAGCTCTAGCTTCTTGGACTTCTTCCTCTCGCTTGGCTTATTTTCGTCTTCCATCTGCAATGCCTCCTGCAAGAGTTCATTTGCTTTGTCTTGCCTCGCCTTGAGCATCTCGTCCCACATGTCAATGTTGAGACTGCCATTGTTCCTGCCGGAGCGGAGGTCCAAGGATTTCCCTGTCATTGTTTTGACAAGGGCCCGGTCCCACTTCTTCAAATGCATGAAGGTGTCCCCGTCGACACATTTCTGTTCGGGGATGCAATGGTTGCCATTGACGAAGAGAACCATCTTCTCCTCGACCGACAAGTTCATGCCAGGCAAATCGTGTTGCTTCCTCTTAGGAAATGCTGAGCCAAAAGATCCTGCAATCCAAGCACCAGTTCGGCTGCTCGCGAGCTCTTTAGCCCTGCGAGCGCCGAAAAGCAAGCAGCAAGAACAGCACATGTGCAACAACGAAATTCCTGCCTCGCATGTGCATGCATGGGCATGCACCCACATTTTTCAACAGGCCTCGGCCGGTCCCTGCATGCTTGCTCATGTTGCTCGTGTGCATGGAAGATTCAATCCGAAAGGCGGCATGTTCACAACATGACCTGCATGAGGCAATGCTCACTTCTTGGAAGTTTTCGCCTTCTTAACTTTCGGAGCCTGCTCATCCGCCTCAACCTGCTTCGCTTTCAGGAAGTTTAGAACAGCCCCGATGCCAATCTCCTTGCTGTTCTTCAACATCGGGATGCGAATCGAGGATTGGGCGGTCCCGGACATGACCTGAACCATGTTGGCGGATTCTTCATCTTCGCACGATCCAACCATGAAGTACGGTGAGAGGAAGTGCTTGCCCTCTTCTGGGGTGCTGTCCTTCGGCAAGCTGTTGCAGCTCACAATCCAAAACTCACGATCGTCCAACTTCCACTTTGTTTGCACCTGCACTGCATTCGCCATGGGCTCGGGCTTCGGGCTCCTCGTGAGAACCTTCCAGCTGTATGGCACCAAGATGAGCTTGCCTTTTCCGAAGACCTCCGAGCTCACCAAAGCTCTGTTAGGCTTCAGTTGCACAGACAAGCCGCCCAGAGCTTTCTGCGAATCGTGGGTCGTGACCAACTCGTGCATTGCACCATGGATCTCGGCGATTACATGGCCAGCCAAGAAGTCGTTGTTCTTCTTGGGCCCCATGGACTGCAAGCTTGCAATGGACTCCGGCTCGGCCTTGGGCTTGAAGGTTATCCACCCGGAACAGAGCATGTCCCTCGCCTGCACTTTCAAAACTCCGCCGGATTTCAAGTCTTTCACGGTGACACTGGACCCGTCCAGACCGGTGATCTGCCCTTCGAATTTCTCCCCCTTCTTTTTAATGCAGGCCCCAAGGACGAACCCCTGGTCACCGAGCAAATCCTGTGCATTGCGAAGTGAGCCATCAGGGTTCAATTCTCGCATTCGCTGAACTGCTCCCTGGCTCGAGGAGTTGCCATCATCATTTGCCTCGGCAGATGCGGCCCATGGACTCTCCAACCCCAGAAGGATGCAGGCATCATGGGCGATGCCCTGCACTGTCTTGTAGCTCTTCTCCTGCTCGGCAGAAGGAAGGCCGAGAGAAAGTCGGACCACATTGATGTCGACCACTCCAAGTATGTTCACGAACCTCACATCCTGCAGAATGT